GTTTTTCTTGGATAGCTTGCTTTGTACAGGTTTCTCTTTGCTGCTTTCTAAGCTCACTACCTGTTAATTTTGTTGCTCTTTCTCTTTTATTAAAGTTACTTGAAATGTTTTCTATAGCTTTTGTTAAGTTTTTATCACTTTTGCTTCTGCTTGTTTTTGTGTCCAAGTGATCGTTGGGGAGAGTTGACTATTGCATAGATTTGATATTTATTTGATTTAATTTATTTATTTGATTTATTATTTATATTACTTATTAATATATAAAGTCAGTAACTGTTATCAAAATAGAATTAGAATCTGCAAAGCAGGACACTTTATGTTTTGAAAAGATGAATAAGATATTAACTTATTATTGTGAAGCAATGATGCAGAGCATCAAATCTTCGATTCCCTTTCAGGTCTATAAACAATCAGCTGATATGAGCAATGTTTGTGGAATGCTTCAAGTTGGTATTCTCGATATTTTTTTTTATTGTGAAGCAATGTCCCTTTGGGTCTAGAAAAATTAATTAAAATATTTAGAAATTCTAATACTAGATTATCCAACCCACGTATCCCATAGCTGATTACTTATTTTATTTATATTCCATATGCTTTTTAATATAATAAGCCACATAATAGCAATAATTAACAGAGTAAGAAAAATATATGCTGATAAAGATGATATTAAAGTGTTTGATACAATAGAGATTGCTTCTATTGAAGAGGCAAAACTTCAAGACTAGATCTCATCTGGGAATTCGATTCAATTAAAGAGAATATATTTTCTCATTGAGCAAGGTGTGGAGTTATATTTTGAGGCATAGCCTCTAATATATTGGGTTTTATCAATATATCTAGCATATTATCTTTGTTAGTTTTGCTAATATCAATTTTATCACTTACCTTTGGGTTAATCTCAGTATCATTTTTTGGGAGTTCGGTAATCTCATTATTAGTATATGTCAAGATATTACCATTTATTTTTCCAACTTGATCCATACTTTTTCTGTATATAAAATATTGGCTAAGATTTTTGTTAGATTTATTAATTGCAGATATATCGTTAGACTTGGTTATATTTTTTTTATTATTTCTACCAACTATAGATGCTGACATATTCTTGGATTTCAAATACTCCAATTCACTAATATTTAAAGCTAACTCACATTCTAATTCAGTTATTTTAGATTTGAGAGACAATATCTCAGATTCTTTATTTAAAAAATTTTTCTGGATCGAAAACACATCTTTCTGGACTGAGAATAACTTACTTTTCAATATTTTAATCATAGACTCTAGCAATCTAATTCTCTTGGATTTTGTAATATTCTCAGATTTAGAATTAGCAAGAGAAATAGCTTTGTTAACATTTTCAAACTGCAAGTTTTGATTTTTACTAACAACTCCTTCTAGTTTTTACTCCACTTTTTTCTATCCTGATCCTACTTGTTTTTTTCCTGGTTAAAATCTTTTTCTTGTTTTTATACTTATCCCACAATTTAGCATTATATAAGACTATCTCAGAAGAATCTTGAAGGACGTTATATAATTCTTTCATAAGGTCTATTACATTGGCCATATTAAATAAAAAAAAATATTATGAAAAATAGCAAAATTTAGAACATATATATATGATATAAATATACTTATCTGATAATGCCATCAAAGAAATTATACTTCTAATATAATCAACAAAAATAGATAATTACTGATTTTTTTAAAAAATTATTGAATATTAAGTATATAATTATCTATAATTACTAATCATTTTTTATTATAAGAGATATAAACATATTTTAGAATTTTTAATAATTTTTAATAATTTTTTTTAATTATGGAACACATAATTATAGGATATTATTGTGCTGGTACTCCTTATTTATCACCAGAAGCTATTAAGAAAATCATTCAATCTCAAGAGATCGTTAAAAATATATGTAGAGAAATGGCTTATAAATATAGTACTTCAACTTGTAGAATATATGAAATTTAGAAGAAACATGCTAAAGGAATACCTTTATGCAAACAGCAATTAATATATAGTGTTGTTTTTTCTGAAATAATGTCCAAAAATAGTCCTTTAGATAAAAAGTCAAAGAAAAAAACTAGGATTCAGTTCTATTAGGTTGGAGGCTGGCTTTTCAGCTAATAAGATTAGTATAACTGATATTCTGATAAAAAAAGTAGATGAAATAAATGACTTACAAGCTAGGCATGCACAAAATCGCAAAAAACTAAATACGAGACAAAAAGAGTCTTAGATTCTAATTAATCTATTTTTGTTTTTCTAGAGTAGTTTGTAATCTATTGCAGAGCAATAGCTTATCGAACTTATATACTATTTCAATATCAGACTCATTTCTATAGACCCATAGTTTTTTATTAAGCTCTATTAATTTAGTATTAGATTCGAGTATCTCATATAGAGATTTTTCTAACTCTTTATAGCTCATGTATTTTTTTTTAAAGTCAAATTGTCAAAATCTAAGCTAAAACTTGTAGTAGCATACAATTTTTCTAATAATACATCATTATTCTTACTAGACTGACTAGAAAAATCAGTAGATACTTGGACTGAATCATGCTTATAAAAAGTTAGGTTGATTTCTGGTTTAAATACTGTATCTTTCTCTGAGACTTATATACTGAAGAGATATAGTAATTACTTTACTTTTATGTATTAACTTAAATTCACGCTTGACAATAGGCTTCCATCCAGCATGATCAAACAAAGGAGTGCCTAATAATATCTAAGGTTTATCATCATCTATTACTGAAAAGTCTTCTGTAATTATACAACTATTATCTCCATAGCCAAAAGTAATTGGTACATTATAACAAGTTTCAATAGATTCTAAAGAATTATTATGCTATTTTACAGAAGGTTTTTTATTTTTGTCAATATTCATTCCTAATAGTTTTGCAAGATCTTTTGATTTAAAAGAGCAGTTTGCTCCACTATTTATTAATGCACCAGGTACTTGAATGATTTTTCTGATGGTGAAGTAATTTGACAAGTAATAGTTGTGATATCATTAGGAATAATTTTACAAATAAAATTAATTTCTATAAAATTTGGCTATGAAATTTCTGCTTCTGATTGCATCTCTTCTGGGGTCTTTTGGAATAATATATTTGCTTGCTAGAAAGCAATTTAAATTAGATCAGATATTGTTTGTAAAATATGTGAGAATACTATAGTAATCTTATTCCAAAACTTTTCATATTCCTTGTCTAAGAAATTTGAAGTAAAATAATTTAGAACAGGAACTTTTATGCAATAAATTTAGCATTAATAATATTATATCTATTGATAGATACTTCTTTAGATTGTATACGAATAAATAAATCAACTATTAATCATAAAATAGCAAAAAATGTATTTAGACTAATATTATCTGTAGGAATTTTAAGTAATCTAGTATCTTTACTGCTCTTTTTAACAGAAGGACATTACTAGATTTTTTGCTAGAAGTTTTTTTAGCTTGGCACTCTTGTGCTTCTTTGAGCTTTTGGTATTAGAAAAACTTATTTTTTTTTGTAGCATTAACTTCATATTTTTCTGAATTGCTTTCTGAACTAGACTCACTTTCAGATGATTCAGAAGATATTGTAAAGCAATGACCCTTTGGGTCTTCTGATTGTCTTTGCGAATATGACAAAGTATTGGTTTCAAGTTCATTTTTGCTAGATGATGTATTATTATTTTCACTACTACTAGATTCTGAAGATGATTCATCTGAAATTATATAGGTATAAACATACTTTGATCAACTTGATGATTTCTTTTTTTGGGTCTTAGATTTTGATTTTAATTTAGTTTTGCGATAAGAAGATTTAGGCTTGCTAGAAATCTTTTTTATAGCTTTAGCAATTTTAGACTAATTGATATAAAGGTCTTCTAATTGCCTACATATATACTCTACAGGATCATTATCTGCAACTTCAACTTTTTTTATTACTGGTTTTGGAGGTAAATTAGGTTTAGGAACAGAAACAAATTCTGGAAACTCCCTAGCAAGCCATTGTATAAATCTACCCATATTCATATCTTGTATAATTTGAGAGATTTCTGGTAGTTGTGACCTATAGTATGATTGAGATGGTTATGAAGAAATTGGTTAAGATGGCACAAAGTGCTAAGTCTTTGACTCTTGGATAGATGACATTATAGATTTTAGCAAGTTTTCGATTTTAGTTTGGTTATATCAATATTGTTCAAATAATTGTCTTTTTTGTGAGATTTATCTGAGCTTGAATATAAATATACTCCAGATAATTGCTCTGTCTTATATCTTTCGATTTCTTCAAGTTCTGTAAGCAATTCAGATACAGGCCTGTTAATTCTAATCCATCAAATTTCTAATTGATTATTAGTAGAGATACTATAAATAAATTGTAATTGAATTTGTTGTTTATCAATATCAGCAAATCTAGCAAGTTTATATAACTTGGAATAGAAATGGCCAACAGGGTCACTATCTTGAACTGTTGAACCAAAAAGCATTTGTTATTTTTTTGCAATAACTGTAAGATAGTTGGGCTTGAACTAATATATTGCTTGCCCAAATCGAATTCTATCTGCTACTATAGATTGACCACCATTGGCATTTGGTAAATTTACAATGTGATCAATTGATCATCTATCTGCAAAAGACCAATCTTCATTGAATATTATATGAGCAGAAATAACAATATTTTCAGCCTGACCCACAGCATTATGTCTTAAATTTGCACCAAGTTGTACTGCTATTTGTCCTTGAGCCAGAGCTAAAGTAGTTTGTTCAGTATTATCTAATAAATTTCTCAATTCCCAATTCTTTCTTCGAAGAGATCTTTTATACCAATCTTTAGTATCACCTTTGAGACATGTTTCAAAAAGACCATGTGCTCGAATTCTGTAAGCATGTCTAGCTGCTACATCAATTTCTATAGCTACAAAATATGAATGAAAAGAATCAATAAATTTTTCTGGATCCTCATTAGGATGTCTATAAAAATTTGAAGGTGAATATTCTGCCATTCTTCTATATTGGCTATTTATAAGTTGATTATTCTATAGTGCAAAAATTTGTTGATTTAAATTATTAATTAATTGTTTAGAATTTTGGGCCTAATTTTTCCACTTGCCCCACTTATTTTGTATAGTCTTGCATCTATTTTTTCACTCATTGTATTGATTTGTTGTAAAATTTAAGAGATGTGTAGTAATTGCTCTATCTGTTTTACAATCTTGTAGTTGTTGATAGGTTTATCTATTTTTGAATCTTAATACAAAGCTTTTTAGAAGCAATTCTGATATCTGCCTTTTTTGTATGCAGATTGTAATTCAGCTATTAAGTTCTCGAGATTTAAATATATTATGTTGAGTTCTGTGGGCCATATAAGCCTGATAAAGAAGATCATAGTCATTTTGAAGCATAGCTAACTGGGTTTGTGAATCAGCTAACTGGTTTTGTGAATTAGCTAACTGGGTTTGCAAATTGGTTACTTAGTTTTCTGCATTAATTGTATGAATATTCGCCTGTGGATATATATCTAGTACTAATCTTTCAAACCTATTGCCAGCATTTGAAATTATATTAAAATAATCTACAATACCATTTATTGTAGGTGCTATTGTAAATATGCTTTGAAAATACTGTCTAATCTTATTAATCTCTCTTTGAATCCTATTATTTTGGATTGTGACTTGATTTTCAGGCAAAGATAATCTAGGTGATCCTGGTTGTTGCATCATGTCTATAGTATCATAGGAATTTTTATACAAAACAAGAATTTTTTTATTAAGCTTGTCTATTTTATTCTGAAAAAATGCTAACTGCTTTTCTAAATAATCTATATAATTGTTTTGCTTTTAAGATTCTTTAAATACATTATTATAAAATAAGT